AAAAAAAAAACATACACACACACAGAGTCGATCAGCATCTGTTGATTGAGTTGTCAAAATTTTGTTGTCTATATATATAATAATATATATATTTTCCTAGAAAGATGAAATTATAAGTTGCATCTATCATATCATCACATCATCACAAATTACATGTGTCTGTTTGCATGTTGTTCTTTTATTCTTAATCGTCCATCTGTAGTCTTCTGCCCACTCTTATCATCGATATTAATCTTATACTTGCCGTGTATCAATTTCATTTTTCTCCCTATATTCTCTTTTTTTTTTCTCATTAAAAAAGTAAAAATATAAAATTAAAGAACTGCGCAAACAATATTGCAATATTTTGAGGACTTGATCATCAATTAATTCAAGTGTATCGGGAAAGCGGCGGTTCATGTGATTTGCAGTTGCCGAGTTTGTTGGTAATATGGTTGTGACTCCTCACGCACATGACTACTTTAATTAATCACTCTCTATTAATTTTTATATATATATATATTTTGTTGTAATAATAATGATAATAATAATAATAATTGAATTAATGTGGAAGGTGGAAATGGAGGCGGCAGCAGCGGAGGGGAGGTCACTGGAGAGAGTAGTGTCGCAGAAGGCTCTGCAAATGAGCAGCTCACGGAGTTGCCAAGTCTGTGTGTTGGCCTTTCTCTCTGGAGTTTGCCTGACATCTCTGTTTATGGCCGGCGCGGCCGCCTCTTTTCGAATTAATAATGCCGCGCATTTTCCCTTTTCTCTGTTTTCCTCCATGCCTAGTACATTAATCGGTAACTTCTTCTACCTCCCATTGCTTTTTCTTTTTTTTTTTTTTTTTTTTTTTTTTTTTTATAAGAATTATACAATATGAGCAAATGAAAATTTTGTTCAAAAATGTCCATTAATTGATTATGCCTCAAATATTCAAAATTTGAGGGTTGATGATAATTTTTTTGAGTAATGCTACATTTACGTAATATTGTAACACTCACATTGAGTGAGACCCACCAAAAATTAAAAAAAAAATAATCAAGTGGGCCCCACTCCTTGCGAGTGTTATGTACACCTCTATGTACATTTATTATGTAAAATGTAGCATTTTTCTAATTTTTTTTTTTCCATTAATTAGTTTGTTTTTGCATTTATTTTGGCTTTTTTGCTTTTTT